GTCTGATTGGCCCCGAGAGTGACGTCACACTTTGACTGCGCAGTGGGTATCCACGGCGTGAGCATACCCTTATCCTTATACCATGTCCAGAACCCCCTTTGCCGTATGCTCGATCTCGCTCCCCCTCGACTCGCGTATCCAGAACCCCCTTTACCGTATGCTCGATCTCGCTCGCACCAATGCTCGCGTATCTAGAATCTCCTGTGCCATATGCTCGATCTCGCTCGCACCGATGTTCGCTTCGATGGATTGGATTGAGCGTGATCGAAGATTATTTCAAGGACACGCCGCGACATGTCACGACACGTTTCGCGGGTGACGTCATCGATGCGTTCGATTGAACCACATACACACACTTTTACTGTCGTGTTTTATTAGAGTGTTAGTTTAATAAAAAGATATATTTAAAATAAGAATGATTTCCTTTGTATTAGTATGTTTTTAAGAAAAAGAAATATTAAATAAGAATGATTTTTACACAGTTTTTTCCTGGTGGATACCACATCCTTATCGGATGCGCCAACATTCGTTCGCTCTCGCTCACACTGATGCCGTTCAATCGCGCTCACTCACACCAACGCCCCATGCTGTTCACCTGACGCCCGTTCGATCGCATTTGCTCACACTAAATGCCCCATGCTGTTCACCTGACGCCCATTCTTTACTGTTATATTCGTTTAAAGTAATTGTTTAATAAAAAAGATATTAAAATAATAATGATTTCCTTTTACGCAGTTTTTGCATATTTTTCCTGTTGGGATACCACATCCTTTACGAGAATTTTTCATAAGGGTATCTATTTTTATGCAACACGTTTGATGGGGGACTATGGTATATAAATATGTTCGGGCGAGGCTTTTTCGTCGTACGTACTTTTTCTGTAACGTTCTAGTGATAGTGTAATAATGAGCAATTTGCAGAATCTGTTAGAGATTAAATATGAATTTCCAGTGGATGGAGTAAGTGTGTTTTTACATTAAATATTGTTTATCTATATTGTCAATAGAATGTATTTTACTCCTTTTTTCAGTATATCACTGTTGACAACGAGCGTATTTGTGAGTTACAATTAGCGAATGAGCTAAAAATCCTTAAGATCCCGTTTGTAAGTATAGTAGAACTTATAACATATAACGTATAAAGTATAAATAACAATACGTATCTAATTTACTTTTATGCTCTATTTCAGATTACACACCGTGAAAATATTCATATTAAAGGATATATGAATATTTGCTCTAGGCAAATGATACGCGCGGACAGACGAGCCGAACCAGAATTTCGAGCAGAATATATGGATATCTGGAACGACGAGGATCTATTTCTTAGCGAGTTATTCGGTCTTCGACCATATGAATCTATTGTTGCTGAGGACATGTGGGAATGTAAGTTGAAAATATTAAATATAAATTTGAAAAACATATATACACTTACGAATATATCTTCTTACAGAGAGCTGCGGTGGTTGAACGTTCTCATTCTCACCGATCTCACTTACACCAACGTTCCGTGCAGTTCGTTTGACACCCGTTCGGTCGTATCACACACACACACATACGTCTTAATTCGAACAATATCCTGAGTCATCTGACAGATACTCGTCATCATCGATGTTTCCAATATTGTCAATGTCTTCAATGT